TATCTTTTCTGCTTCCCGAGATTGCTTTCCCGCCAAAAAATTTGCATATTTTTCTTGAGGTGCTCGTAGTTGGGACTCAGGCGTAGAGGTGATGATATTAAAGCGGGAGGGCCGCGCATGGCGTGGCCACATACTTCTCAATTTTTAGCCTCCTCGCTTCCTAATTCTCCAGTTGAAAGTGGGTGATAAAAAGTGCGAACACACAGACACGCACACACCACACAGCCTCTTGCCAATATGCGTTTTTGCACTTGCATATACGCAAAAAGGCATAAAACGGCCGTTAAATGAAATTTTTTATTTTCCTTTATGCAAAATATATGATGATTTATGCTAATGAGTACACGAAATAAGTGCAAAGTAACAATCATTCGTACAGTTAACGATCCGATTGCTTCAAGTCGAGTGCAAAAACATATAATCGCATTGGCAAGCCTGGTTCGTGGCAGCCTGGACTTGAAACGTTGCACAGTTCTTGTCCAGGACCTAAAGTTCCTCACAAAATTCTTTTTATATTCGTCCTGAGTCGACTAACTAAACGATGCGTACTGCAACTTTATTAAATTTTTGTAAGATACTGAAAATGAGAAATGAACCTAATCCTTCATTGCACTCTTTTTTGAAATATGCAGTAAAGTGTTTAAAGGAATGGTGTTATCAGGCAGGCAGATGAAGACTCTGTCCAGCTAACTGATAAAAGCTTGTTGCTGATAAATGGTGCAAGGGCACAGTTTGTGCGGGTGAATGAAGATGGGGGATCAAGCTGACTGCATGAACGTATACCTCGTCCGCACAGCACAAACTACATTTGCTGAAGCTTTTTCTGCAATTTTTGAAAGGAAATATGCAGGATCTGTAATATGAAAAAATCACGGCCGCTTTTTTTTCCCAAAAAAATCCATTCGTTCGGATTCTTGATTACTGCTGGCGCTGTTGTCTCTAATCAAAACATTCTCTGATAGAGCCTCAGCTCCTGTGTCTGCGTAATTCTTTAGCTTCAGTAACTCTACAATGCAGGCATGGGCGGCCTTTAGCGACAAGCGGGCCTGATTTACATGTTTACTTAAGCCGCAGGCCACCTTTTAATAAAACCCAGGTAACAGCGCATTAATCTTACCAGAACGACCATGCGTCTTTGCGCAAAATTTGATGCAGTCAGATCATTAACAGTATGAATGATTGTTGCTTTGCAGCTAACACGCGCAGTTCAAGCGCCTGTGTTTTGGTCTCTTCTTGCATGCAAGGGAACAGTGCTGCCCTGGTGCGCACCGCAATTTATTTTCGTGAGAATGCATTGGTGTGGCGGTTTACAACCTCCCTACCCTTTGTCTAGTTAGGCAATACATTCCGATTGTTTCCGCGGGACAGATTAAAACCAGTCACGAGCCGAATCCGGCCCGCAGGCCGCCGGTTGCCCTCTTAATCTATATTGGTTCTTTCAATTCACTGTATTGTTTTCTAACGCTATTATTACCTAGCGTGTTTTACCGCTAAACTTTCTGACGGGAAACTAATTTTATTTTTGCCGTGATAACTGAATCGTATTTTTGTTTTTGCCAGAAACGCAAGGCCACGTAATGCAGGATTTTCACCACATCAAACACTTTTATTGTGCTGACAGTGCTGAGAGCAAAAAATTAAACATCTAAATAAAACTGACTTGCTACTTTCGGCAAGCATTTTGCGCTTCAGCAGAAATCTGTTGCATTTGCTAGGATATTTCGTCATTTTTCATATTAACTACTGAAAAATTTCTCCTAACGTCGTCCAAAATCACATTCGCAAGTAACATAATACTCCAGCGGAATTTTGTTTTTGCTTCTTGGTGACAAGGCTAATACTACGCAAAAGCTTTACGAACTGTTCTTGTTTAGGCAAACCATGCATCAAGCATTGAAATTTCACTGTTGCAGTCCGCACGCATAATTTCGCCTTGAAATAGGCTCTCCGACACTCTAAGCTACTTTAAGTGCTAGCTTTTCGACCTTTCTGACTCGAATCATATTGATCGTTTTGACTTTAATACTGATCCCTTGCCTTGCGCAAATTTGGCGGACCTGGTCCGAGAAATTCTCTTCCTTCCAGAGCAAAATTCAGCCCTTTTTCTACAATTTCTTAATCGACGGCTTCGTTAGCTAGTCTTTTATGAGAGTTTCTTTTAAAAACCTGAGCAAAAAGATGGAACTGGTAATTCTTTGCTACAAAGTTATTTATAGCAAGTTTTGCTGCGTTGTTTTGCTTTGTAGTCCCTGCACGGTTTTATTTTTTGGAAATTTTGCCAGAAAAGTATTACTTCATGGACCAGGTGCTGCTTCCGGCTTGCAACCTAAATAGTGCTTAGAAAAACGTTTATGCCAGGAGGTGCTGCACCACTATTGTTCGGGGTACCAGACATACACGGCCACCTGCCTGCCGGTAAAAGCAGAACTTTTATTGAATATTGGGTTTAAGCTGAGCAGTGCTTGACAAAACAAAGCTTTAACAACTTCCTGATGAAGTGACATTCTCGCCTCTCATAAAGTTCCCAGGCCAACACATCCTTGCCTATTGAAATTTTCCGCTCGGTTTAACAGATACAAAGTTACTGAAAGATTACAAAGCGGCATCTTCGAGCCAATAGTGCTTACTGGAGAATATTGCCGTGCTCCTACAAAATATCAGGAATACCAAGATTGCCCGGATTACCAGCCTGGGCAGCTCTCTTCGGTTTCGGACTCCACACCTAGTACCAACAGTATGTTCGACATGTTTGTGCCATTGCCGAAAAATTATTTTCTTTCTGCATCCAGAGACGCTTAACAATAGCTGAGTCTTATTACAGGCAGCTAATTTTCAAAATTCTGATGAGGGCAAACAGTCAGTTACAAAGCACACTAGTTCACTTGAGTTCTGGAGTTAGCCAGTCCAATTCAGTAATGTACACGGCACAGAAAAATACCAACAATTTAATGCAAAAATTCAACTTTCCCGAATGACATCCTTCGAAGTCTTCTCTACAGGTGTGATGCGGTCTGGGATATCTTGGAAGGTTTTCTGGGTGATTTGTTACGAAAACTTCCATCGTATCTCTGACTGTGTCATGTGCCAGGCTGCCTGCCCGCTGTTTAACGAATCAACCCATATTATTAAAATCAATTCATTGAAGGACTGGCTGACTGCCGTAGTCATTTACAACAAGCTTACCAGCAGAAGCCCTGCTAACCCGAACTTGTGTTCTTTTTCAATCGGCTACAACAGCTACCCGTTTTACGAATGACAACCTGATCAAGAATTTTTTTTTATGCGTTTTGTGCAGTGCAACAGCAGTACAAAATGCATATTGTCATGGGGTTGTCTCTGTGTGTGTGTGTGTGTGTGTGTCCGCAGCAACTTGTCCGCGACTTTCAACTCGGGAATCACAAAAGCTAAGAAGCTGAAAATTTTGGGGAGCGTTCCTCACCCACGTGTGACCTCGTAAATTTAAATTCAGATTCCCCGTACCCACAGGTAACACGTACAACCCCGTGAAAGTTTTTTACGGGTGAATTAATATCTTGGAAACCACGGAGTCTAGGAGGCTGAAATTTTAGGGTAATGACCCCCTCCCACGCTCAATTTTGGCGGGTAAACTATTAACTCGGGAATCACGGAAAGACATTCACCTTTCAAGGTTTCGAATTCAGCTTTCCTGCACTGGTGCGCGAAATTTTTAACTGTTTTCCAGTGTTTGAACTATTTTTGCACAGACTAAAGTACAAAGCAGTGAAAGTCATTAATGGGCAATCGTTCGATGGGCTGAATTGCACAAAACGCATGATCGCACCGGCTAGTCTGGTGCACGTTGTATTTATTATGTACTTTCCTCTGTGTTCCAAGTGCTTATTATATACTTTCCCACACAGGTCTTTGAAAGTGAACCATATTACTGTGGCAGACTAGTATTCTCCAGTTTGAAAAGAGATGCTTGTTTCGGGCAGTGTAGTTCAGGATCGAGACATTATCATAAATAATTTATTTTTAAACAACGGTGTTCAACAGGAATACGTGCTTCAACAATTACGGACGCAAAAAAACCAATGGTAAAAGAATGAGGTAAAAGGGGCTAAAATGCCTCACTGCCCTCGGTAATTGTCATTACTCAAAACTATGAAGTGCACCAGCCCACTGTTAGTCACCTCCTAACATGCTGCGGCAACTAGAGCTCCGCATCCATGTGTCAACTGTATGTTCCAGGGCTGAGATACACTACGGGGAGACGCGGGGAAGTTGTTGAAACGGAACAGGAAAATAACCCAAACGGTGGATGGGATGTGCTGCTTTATTACGAAAAACGAAGACTGTACGCCAGGATCAACAGCAACAGTCTGACAAAGTTAGGTGAATGCAGTACCGGTTACAGTCAATTGCACCAGTCCGTAATATTGTTGAAAATACTCTTCGCCACCAAAATCCGCTAATTCATGCAATTATTCAAAGCCTCGAAAAAGACAAGAACGAGCGTGTACAATCACTGCAAAACCGAAACAAACAGTAATCAGGAGGGCGACATTCCCATCAAAAGAAGGCAATTTTGCAGGCTTGAACCCGTACAGGAGCCGTTGCCAATATTTTCCCCATTATTTTGTATCTCCGAACGCTATTTTTTACCGATAATTCGTGACTTTTGGCATCTAATCAACTAAATCTAACGTCCTGGAAGCAAAATTTATAGTATGGAACAGTTTTAATGATGCAAACATGTTTGCATTTTAACCGTAACATGATTTACCATAAGCAGTGCGACGTAAAATGGGATCAAGATCAGAAGAAAAAAAAAATATTGTTACAGACAAAAGGAATGTGAATTAAAAACAGGCACATCAAAGTCATCAGGAAATAAAACGGCGCCAACAGCTGCTCTTGCAAATGTGTTTGCAAAATCGCAACGCATAATGCAAACACACATGCAAATACATACACACAAACAAATGCAAACACACATGCACAGAATGTCAGAACAACGGGATAAAAATTTATTTCGATTAGGTGGTGTCCACAGACATTGGTTCGCCTTCCTCTGGTTCTCCGTCCTCCTTCTTCTTCGCACTCTTCATATATTTATCGATCTCCCGATCGAGCTCTTCTTCAGTAAAATGATCCGAGGAGCGACGCATCCTGCTACCGCGCTTGTAGCCCTGAAACTGCGAAATGCATACTTTTAAAACTTCTGTGGTGCTTAACAAATACAGCAGAGGAATGAGCAAGAAAAAACAAATCTGATTTCCTGATTTTGAAGCAGGTAAATGATCACTGCAGAGGAATTCAAAGATTTTACCCGGCGATAAGGATATCTCTTCTTATATATGCCCCGTGGTCGATCTGGGAACTCTACACGGTCGTAAATGCGCCTTCTTTTGGGGGCATCACTGGGCTTCTTCGACGTATCATCAATCAAATAGAAGTTCAATAACTGCCCTAAAATTTCAAATCTTCAGTTCATCATAATTTTAAGAGAAATGCAAGCAAATGCTAATCGCGAAACTCAACAAAAAAACTATAGATTTATTATGATGCTGAAAAGAACAGGTGAGTACTAACCATCCAGAGCAGCGCCATCAAAATTCGACATAATTTCACGAGCAGTAGCTCGGTCTGTCACCACATCCGCTGTCCCGGTTGGCTCCCCCTCTTCATTATAATTGACTGTGGCCGCCTTAAGTGTATAGTGTTCAAACATTTCCTGCAAAACTCATTGAAAAATAATAACGTACTCTTTGGCACTATCCTAGCAGTGAGAGGCAAAAACTAAAGACTAATTGCTTCATCCAACTCCCATCTGCCCCATCGTAACGCACCTGACACCATCATCGGTGCCCACTCACTGTTTTGCCAGCTGTGGTGAAATAAAAAGAAGCCGAAAACTATGAAACCACCGCAACATGACAGCCTACAGTGAGCGCTTCGAACATATGCAAGTGTCGTAGCTGACTGCACTTTTCCCGTAAGGAAATACCACGATACAATCAAGTTTTTTTTTGAAACAGAAAAAGGAGTGGTAAAACCCATGTTTATCAAAATGATGGCGCGTTTTCGTTACAAGGTTGGCACCAAAGTCGCCAGTAACAAGGCCGGCACCAAAGTCGCCAAAAGATTGGAATAAACAAGACAAGCGGTATCTAAAAATGCTGACATTCAACTTTTGACAGCTTTGACAGCTTATTTCCAGTTCATCTCCCAAACTTATACAGTACAGAACCGTTCGCCACAATTCGTATCCAGAAAGGCGTATCCACGCGTTGAGCAACAACCGCAGCCACGTAAAACAATGCATGCAGAAGCAGGGATTAATTTGCAAAGTAGAAAATTAGAATATTTGAGCAGCCACTGGTTTCCAGCCAGAAATAGAAAGAAATTTCACTGCAGAACTGCGATGCACCTGAATGTCGGGGCATCGAAAAAACTGTTCGTTGGAAAGCATACCACGATATCGGTTGAATCAACATTCAGCGGCAGATTTGATATGTGGATACGCACTTCCGCCGACAGATCCAAACGGCTTACTGGCGGGTTCCAGCTGGTGCGTCTCGGAAACGTACGCATTTCGCCATACATTCGTTCATAGCCACCATGGTCCCAGCGGACCTGGGCGAT